GGATCCATCAGGATCCATCAGGATCCATCAGGATCCATCAGGATCCACAGGATCTATCAGGATCCATCAGAATCCACAGGATCCATCAGGATCCACAGGATCTATCAGGATCCATCAGAATCCACAGGATCCATCAGGATCCACAGGATCCAAGAATCCAGGATCCGCTTTTTCCCCCTTGGGAAAAGCATATGTTTTGTTATATATGTTAGTGATTACAATTAAACAATGATCGAATATTAATGATAATGAAGAAAACAAAAAATCAAGCATGTTGCTCGAACCATTTGAAAACCGACGGTTAACCATGGCTCTTCGACTATACTGTTGAGAGCGCGTTGAAGTCATTGGTACTAGTCAGATTTTCTACTGTTACTGGGTTTTGAAGTTACACTATTTTTAAAGATGACGTCTCACAATCGGATATTTATGAGTTACTTGACCAATAGAAAAACTGATGGAGCTGTCCGAAGAAAATTATTGTTGTGCAGCTATCTTGACTTTTTTGACGTTTTGCGCACTTTTGTAACACTAAAAAGCCTAAACTAGAAAGTTTTTTTAAAAAAAATGTCAATAGATAAAAAGAAACCGTATAAAACCATCGTTTTTGGTGAAAAATCAACGACATAAGCATGAATTATTTTCTTTTCACCTAGCTACTTTATATGATAAACCATCTAAATATCTTCTTCCACTCACAGCCCTGTATTAATATTGTCTACCAATATTATCTGTAAATAAAGACTTCTTTACTTGAGTTTATACATAAAATAGGCAGAGACTTTATTTGATTAGCATCAGTTAGAAATGGAATAGCTTCAGTCTTGAAAATACAATTTTAGTTATATAATTTTTTCGTTAACTCTTTGACTTAATTTTTATCAGATTAAAACTATAGACTGCCAGAACTGTAAAGAAAGCAACAATAAACTGCACACGACGAGAATTAGCATTGACTAGAGATATAAGTTTTTCCATGTTTCGATATTCTTCCATTTAAATATTTGCTTTTGGACATTTGTCCAACACATATCCACAGTAATGCTATGCTTTTTTTTCCAGATATCCATATTACACAATACAAATATGTTCGTTTCAAGAATCCAACTGAAAAGCTCAATCCTAGTAAAATTGAAGAGCTTTTAACTACAATTCAAGGTACTATTGAAAACTTTCAAACAGAGATACCGAAACGAAATGAACATACAATATCAGAACAATCTCAGAAAAAGCCTGAATTAATGAAATCTACTAACTTCAATGATAGAAAATCTATTGAACAATGGACAGCTAAGGATATTGCTAGCTGGTTTAGCAACCATAAAGTGCCAGACAATCTTATTAAATTATACGATTTCCAGTCTATCACCGAAATACGAGAATATGCCACAAAATTACGTGCCGATTCACAAAAAGAATTCGTTAAATATCGAGAACAATATTCAAAAAGTTACAATAGTCAAGAACTTGAAGAATATATATTTGGTCGATTTAAAACTGCTGTTTTCAGTCTACCGACGGCATCATCAACATCAACAAAGACTAAAAACTCTCAGTCAAGTACTTGCATTATTTTATAATTTCAACTAATTTCATTTTGAGAATCAAACTCAAACCTCTATCTTATACTTTTCTCTAATAAATAAGCATAAAAAATTTTATTTGTAATGAAATCTAGATGTCTCTAATTCAGACTGAACTTTTGGAAAACGAAATATGAAAGTTGATGAAAGGGTGAGAGTAAGGATATATGGTTAAATATCCATACAGAGAAAACTCACATTCATACTGAATATGGATAAATTTCCTCACTGTTTTTCAAAAAGTAGCGGTCTAAGTTCAGTATAAAACAGTGTATTTCATTTAGTGAATATAGTTTTCTCCCTGTTTTGTAAGATCACGTGACTTTATAGTAAAACCAGGTCGCGAATTGAAAATTTTTTGTTTGTCTTATTTTTGTGACCGAACACTTCATCTCTTCAACCCCCGGTGCATTTTGTTGTTATTCGATGTTTATTAAAGGTTTTAAAAAATGTCATACCATGTCAGAATCAATTTTCTCGCAAATCATTAGATAAAATAGTGAATGAACGATATGGAAATATCTCTTATATAGTTAGAAATTGTCTTAAAGATCATAATATTATGGCTTACCCATGGCGTAAATTTCTGCGAAAAAAACGCGTTTTTCCATAGCTGCGAAACGCGTTAATGCTGACCGGTTTGATGCGTTTCGCATCTGCTAAAACAAACGCTGTGTATCGATTGTTTTTTTATAAAAGGGTATGGGTGGGCGTGAGTGTGTGTGACTGTGGGTGTGGGTGTGGGTATTAGTTATCTACTGACCCACATCCACATCCACACGCACACCCACACCCACATCCACACCCACCCACACCCACCCACACCCCACACCCACATCCACACCCACCCACACCCACACCCCACACCCACACCCCACACCCACACCTACACCCTCTTTATTTGTCTATATTTTCTCTATCTTCAATTGTAACCACAAATATCCTGAAATATTTATATTATGCAATACTTATTAAATACGTTCACCATATAGATCTCGTTCTTTATTTGTTACTTTTACTATAAGATTTTCTTGAAAATGATGATAAATTTATCGAAACGTTGAATTGAAAATGAAAACTAATCTTTTTATTGCTGCTGTAAAATCAATTCAATTCTGGTTCGATAGACCTCGTCGAGCTCTACAAAATTGTATATATTAAAAATTTTTTAAGTCATTTTTCTGAAATAAAAAATTCAAAAAACGACTTGAAAAATCCTAAAAAAGTTAAAAAACTCATATTTTTCATGTGGAAGAAAAACACTCGATTTTTCAATAAATTTAACTTTTTTTTTTAATTATTTTTACTCTATCAGGTATTTCGAAGTGTACTCATTCAATGTAGTTTTTCACGCTGCGTCGAATGAGTATGTGGGGGTTACAAGCTTGACTGGTACCCCAGTATTGATTTTTTTATCTACGCATAAGAAAAATCTGATTTTTTTACCACTTATACTACATATACCGGGTGTTCCAAAAGTTTTGCAACATTTTGTATTTTGCATATATCTCGGCATAGGTAAATGATAGAACCTTGATTTTTTTTAAAAAGATGCGTCGTGAAAAGCTCTACAAAAACTGTAAGAAGAAATTCCTATTGAATTGTTCTAGTGGTGTTTCCTATATTCAAAATGAATAGGTGAGATGATGGGCCTGTGTCCCACGGTATTAAGTATGTTTTTGTTTTGCAAATATTTCGCCTTGAGAAAATGACAACACCTTAACTTTTTTTCAAAAGATGCGCCATGAAAAACTCAACAAAAACTGTAAGATCAAATTCTTATTGTCTTCCTCAGATAGTGTCTCCGATACTCAAAATGAACAGGTCACATGACGGTGTTATGTTCCATCGTAATTAATATAACAAAAATATTTGGAAGACTTCTTTTTATTTTGCGAATATCTCGACTTGGGAAAACAATAACGTCTTGATTTTTTTTTCAACGTGCGCCGTCAAAAGCTCTACAAAACCTGTATGAGCAAGTTCCTATTGCAAAACAAAACTGACTTCGAACTGCTTAATACCGTGGGACACAGGCCCATCATCTCACCTATTCATTTTGAATATAGGAAACACCACTAGAACAATTCAATAGGAATTTCTTCTTACAGTTTTTGTAGAGCTTTTCACGACGCATCTTGTAAAAAAAAATCAAGGTTCTATCATTTACCTATGCCGAGATATATGCAAAATACAAAATGTTGCAAAACTTTTGGAACACCCGGTATAATGCTATTCATCTATCACTATTCATAACCTACATATATCACTATAAATGAGAATTA